GGACTTGTACAGACAAAAGTAGAACACGCCTTCCTCGTTCTTGAAACATGATTCGCCATTTACGATCGAAAACAGAGATGACATTGGTGCATATCCATTCCAAAGGCTGAATCTGGAAAGCCGATTCACTAACACGGAACACTGAGACCCCTTTCAGCAGATATCAACTACCGGCACCAAAAGAGACGACTTATTTACGATATTTACACAAAAAGGGAACCTAACAGAACGACCTAATATCATCGCGGATCGAAAGCGACCAATCAAGACCAACTTGAATTAATAAAGGGGATACGTTTATAAAGAAACTGAGTCACTGTGTCGGTGGGAGAGTATAACGAGTAGGAAGTAGGAAGTACTGACTGAAGTCTCGACAACGGAAGTCATCATCAGAGCAGGGTGAAGAGCTGTAGTCAACCGAGTGTAACGAGTGCGTTTCGTGTAAATTGATTGGTCATTTTTTCCATGATGTCATTGGCTGCAAGAGTCAAGTAACTTAAGTTGGTAATTTGGTATTTTCAACTGAGTTGTTAACGTTAATTGATCACCGTTGAGAGTTTCAAAGCTGACGATTCGGGTATTAGCGCTTCGTCAGAGCGAAAGGTGATGAGTCGCTCTAACGAAGGGCTAACGCTCAACACGTTAGCTTCGAAACTCTTAACAGTGGCCATCTTCACTCTGCTCTGATGATGACTTCCGTCGTCGAGACGTCATTCAGCCCTTCCTACTTCTTAGCACTACCCTCGCCCGGACGATCAGACCATTCAATCGTAGGTCAGGAATATGCAGCCGGAAAAAATTACTTTAGCAGGATTCGATGCCATGACTACCTTAGCATTCCGGCAGTGCTCTAAAAACTCAGGAATCAAGGCACATTGGTACTGTAAATTATGATGATGATATATTGAGACAGCTGTATAACGAAATTAAGCAAAGGATGTCATAGCATAGTTTCAAAGACGACTAGAACATTTTTTTTAATTGATAGAGCTCCATAAAAATTCAGTTTTAAACAAGACTTTATGATATCATTGTTTTGCAATACCAATGCAAGCTTCTTAAGGACGAAAATTCCAGTTCTGATTTGTTATTCTGAGATTGCTAGTTACTTGAAGTGAATCACATCGACTTTTCAATCGGAGTTGAAATGTTCAGCTTAAGTATATTTCCTTCAAGTCCAGGTTGGGATTAAAATTTCAATGTTATACATTTTCGCTAAAGTTGATCAATGTTTCACATAATTATATGCAAAATTACAATCGTGAATTGGGGGATTTAGCCAAGGTGATGGTTTCAAATGGAGAACACAACTATCATTGTTCAAACATTCAGTGTACCTGAAATATCTTCCTTTTGATCGAGAATTTCTGAAAAATATGACGACAAAATATTGCAAAAATGGGAAACTTACTTTTAGATGCATCATCAACGTCAAATTGCCCGTTTCAAATTATTATTCAGATGTAGGGTGGTAAAATCTAGGAACAAAAACTTCTTGAAAAATAGCGTTATCCTCCTCTTTCCCTTCGGATTTGAGTATTTTGTAAAAGTAAGCAGCTTTCTTGATATAACCCACCGTGTCGAACTCTTTAACACGCGTTTTTTGAAAAGTTTTGTCAACCTCGCCTTTTCAATCATTGCTTGTATTAATGAACTTGTCACCTGAACAGTACAATTGGGTAAGAACCATTTATTTCGCATTAAGCGAACGTCACGGAAGAAACTTTTTTTACTCCCTGATTCTAGCTCTTTATAGCTAGTAATTACAGCTTTTTACAACCAGGCAATGTTCAAAGAAAAACTGCGATCGATTGAGATGATACTCAAAGTTCAACAATGACAAGGCAATACTCACACATCATGGATTGTTGCACGCGATTGCAAAATTACCTCAGCAAGCAAAATAAACAATATTGTACCTTAAACAAACTCCTAAATAAATCAATACCGTAGGAATTTCTACAAATATCAGCTTAAATAGACCAAATGTCGAAATTCTCGCTAAAAATTTTCTTGATTCAACAAAACAGTTTCTTAAATTCGAGAAAGCCTTATACATATCTTAATATTTGCTTTTGAAATTTACACGAATTGCGATCACTTGTTGCAAAATGAACACGTGGGAGTTGAAAAAGTATGTTAGAGATTGTGTACATTATTATTAACTCTTTTGTATTAACCACTTGTAAATGTCCTTAAAGTTTTTTAATATTGCTATATTTTCTAAACATATCGGAAAGTTCTAAATACCCCCTAAAAATATGGGTTATTTATGGAACGGCCTCATCAACGTTGTTATTCATTTAATTTTGAAAACATGGATTAAAACGCAATTTTCCATGCAAAGCTATAAATACAAGCCACGACTTCAGTCGTGACAATGAAAAATCACCAGAGGATAACATATGAAACAAAATGAAACGGGGTTTGTACGTGTTCAATGTTTCATGCAATTATATGACAAAGACCCTTCAAACTACTTCTTATTTAACCAAATGTCCCACACATTCCGTTATCTTTAAGGACAACAAATATATCTATGAACTTGAATTACTGCTTTGTTTGGCATCTGCGGCATTTTTTCAAGCCGAAAAGTAGTAAAATATTTCTAATGTTATTAACAATCATTAGTCTAAGCCGGTTGAATTGCCTAAAGAGTAATTTCATGATAGAGAGGTCTACAATAAACGCTGTCTCAGCTTGAGGTGCATTATCATTCCGACACAACCCGTTAAATCGATTTTTTATACTGGATCATGTGAATAGACACAATGGATATTGACCTGCTATTTTATAATAAGAAGGAACCTCCCGGCGTTAAACTCGCATTTTCTTTATTATACCAAACGGAAAAGACAACACAAGTTGGCTAATTGACAACTGAAAAGAAGATCAAAGGTCGAGGTAAGTTTGCGGATTTTTATTTTTTTTAACAGAAATCTGAACTCTGACTGTTGAGAGGTGAATGTGACTTCCTTAATAAACCTCCCTTTACACCAAATAGATGTACAGTCAGTGAGTGGAGCAACCATATTTTTTAACTTGTTCACAGTCAGTATGAAACACAAGTAAAGTTAGACCTTCAACCGCAAACACCGATATCATCATAATCGGACCGGCACAGTGTTCAACTAAAGTGAACGAATGTATGTATATCTAACAACGCGATTTGATGGTTGTATGCCACTTGGTAAAAAGGTTTTTTTAATTGAGGACCATAATCTTCCCAATTACGCAAGTGTGGCGATTTTTCTTGATATCTACACATTATAGAGTTTCTCTTGAGCTTTTTTATTAATAACGCTTTAACGCTACGGGTCGTTTTTTCCCTTTTCATCGTTGATCAAATTGTCGACTGACAGAAGCCCAACCCGACTGTGCCGCTGAATAATGCCTTTAAAAAAAATCAGAGGACGTGACTTTTTCAGCCCAGTAGTGATCTTTTTGTGTTAGTCAGTCAAATGCTTCCTGTGCTTTACTGAGAGATCTAACGATATTGAATTAAGTAATTAATTGCTTTAGTAATTCCTGCGATCAACAACTGAGAAGCTCCTCCTGCACGTTCGAAAATCAGATGAAAATTATGTCAGTTACCAATAGTAATTGCTATCTTTGACCAAGAGAAAAGAAATTTATGAGCAATATGGAAGGATAACTGTTAGACCTCTGTTTGTTATGGTACTTCTGATAAACTTTATTGCGATAATGAGTAACGCTGCTTGGTATTGTTTGAGCGGGAAAACTGTTCATCGGAGATTAATACCTAAAAGCAATTCAATACATAGAGACTGACAGATAAGTAATGACTATTAATTGAACAGACCTTAAAATCCACTTGAGAGCTGAACATGACATGAAAAATGACGAAAAAACTCTTGCCACTGCTTCTTGAACTAACGATCTCTTGAATGAAGAGCACAGTCAAAGATTATCTGTTACCACCGCCAGCTGGCCTTTTTAGTTCAAGACGTAGATTTGCTAATTTTTTCTCCCTATTTTTTTCATATGCTATCGATCATTATTTTTCTATCTCAGCCTATTATCAAACGCAGGGTTTCAAAGGTTTTCTTAAAAAAAATAATAATAACTACTTGAACTCAAAACATATTGGTAAAACAGTGCTTGATTTTCTTATTTTAATTTTATTTACAGATGAGTCCTATTGCGAGTCTGTTAATCTTAGCCTTTGGAGTCTTAGTTCTAGTAAATTCTGCACCGGTTAACGACAAGCTACTGCAACTGGGAAGAATTATGTCCGTTACCCATAGAGTAAGGCGCGATTCAACACCACCCCCTCCTCGGCCATGTATTAATGGTACAACGACAAGTCCAAATGGTACAACGACAAGTCCAAATGGTACAACG